GCCATTTTAATTATTCTTTAAAGTTCATTAGAGATAGAGAAAGCGAGAGATAGAGATCCTTGATAAGGTCTTGCTATGCCATGATCTTCTCCAGCCTCCAGCTAGCTAGGATCGCTGGAGTGACTTGTGTGTTTAGATTGACTGTGGATCCTAACCTAGGACTCTCACGTGACTCCAGTATTATGTAGCGGCACCCTACCACCTGCCCTGCTGTGACTGGGTCTAAACCGTGTTTTCTAAAAAGGATGATAACTATCTTCCACACAAAAAGCTGTTAGAAATGAATATAGCAAAGTTGGAATACACAAAATCAACACACAAAGGTCAGTTGTGTTTCTCTACACTAACACATGAACAATCCAAAATGATAATGAAGAAAATAATTTCTATGAATAAAATACTTAGGAATAAACATGAATAAGCAGGCAAGACTTGTAAAATGAAAACTAGAAAATGTTGCTGAAAGAAATTTAAAAAGACACAAATAAATTGAAAGACATCCTATGTTCATGGCTTAGAAGACTTAATATTAAGATATTTATACTATCTAAGGTTATCTTATACATTGAATGTAATCCTTATAAAAACCCCAAAGGTGGGACCAGCAGATGGCATAATGGATATGTTGCTGGACTCCCAGGTAGTCAACTAAAGTGCGTGTGTGTGTGTGTGTGTGTGTGTGTGTGTGTGTGTGCTTGCCCAAAATCCCCAGAGGAGAATGAGAAGAAGGAATTGCAGCATGGCCATCCCTCATGGGGAGTGATTTCTTGCTTTCTCTCTCTCTAGCAAGTGCACATGCTCTACAGCAAAAAATTTCTCTAAAATAAATCCCAATTTTTGTTGACTAGAAAAACTCATCCTAAAATTCATATGGAATTTCAGGAGACCCTTAGTATCAAAAACAATTTTTATTTTTATTTTTTTGGAGAGGTTTTTGCTATAGGGCGTGTGCACTTGCCAGAAAGATAGAGAGAGACAGAGAGACAGAAAGCGAGAAACCACGCCCCCCGGGGGGATGGCCACGCTGCAATCCCTTCTCCTCTATTATCCTCTCAGGATCTTGGGTACGCACGCACATGCGCCTGGTGTGAGTTTAAGCCACCGGGTCCAGGACTCGAACTGCAGTTGGCTACATGGGAGTTCAGTGACATGGCCATTATGCTAACTGCTGGTACCAGTATCAAAAACAATTTTGGAAAGATCAAATTTGAAGGTCTCACACTTCTTAATTTCAAAACTTAATAAAAAGGTAAAGAAGTTAAAAAAGTGTTTACTGACATAAGAGAGACATATAGACCAATGAAATAGAATGAGGAGGGGCCCATAGGTGACATAGTGGTTAAGGCATTGCACTTCCACATGGCCAACCTCGGTTGAAGTCTTAGACCTGCGTGGCTTGAAAATTAGGCTGGATGTGAGTGCTTGCATGCCCAAAATCCCAGGAGGAGAACAGAGAAGAAGGGATTGCTGTGTGGCCATCCCCCCAAGGGGTGATTTCTCAGTTTCCCTCTCATTGTCTCTCTCCAATGAGTACACATGCCCAATGGCAAAAACCTTAAAAAAAAAAAAAAAACAGAAAGAAAGAAAGAAAGAAAGAAAGAAAGAAAGAAAGAAAGAAAGAAAGAAAGAAAGAAAGAAAGAAAGAAAGAAATGATATAGGATTGAGAGCCCCAAAATACACTCATGTATGTATGGTCAAATGATTGCTAACAAGAGTTCCATGACCATTCAATAGGTAAAAGACAGTTTTGGCTTTTTCACCTGAACAAATTGTGCTAGGACCTGGATATCCAGTTGCAAAAAAAGCAAAAGCAAAAACAAAACAAAAACCAAAAACCTAAAAACAAAAAAAAACCAACAACAACAAAAACAACTGAATCCTTATTTTGTATCACAAACAAAATGAACTCAAAGTGGATTACATATCTAAACATAAGAACTAAAACTTTAAAACTTTTAGAAAAAAACATATGGCAAAAGATTCATGACATTCAATTGGGCAATAGTTTCTGGAATGTGACATCCAGCAAAATAAGACATTGATAAATTTGATTTCATCAAATGTGTGCATCATAGGACACAGTCAACAGAATTAAAATGCAACTCAAAGAATTGGAGATAGTATTTATGAGTCATATATCTCATAAGAAATTAATCCAGGATTTATAAATAATTTCTATAACTCAACTACAGTAAAATTAAGCCTTCCAGTTTAAAAATAGACAAAAGATTGCAATAGACATTTTCCCAAAGATACACAGATAGCCAACAAGTAAGTAAAAAGATGCTCAACATCTCTATAATCAGTTGGAAAATGCAAATCAAAGCCACAATGAGATACCACTTTACACCCACTAGTATGGCTTATCATAAAGGAAAAGGAAGGAAAGAAAATAGCAAGTGTTAGGCAGGTGGCACACCACGTTGTGCACTGTTGGTGGGAATATAAAACGGAAGAAAATAGGGTGGTTCCTCAAAAACTTAAAAACAGACTTATATGATCCAGCATGTTCACTTTTAGGTGTGTACCCAAAAGAATTAAAAGTAGGGACTTGAAAGATAGTTGTACATTATGTTCATTGCAACATTGATCACAGTAGCCAAATGGTGACCACAACCCAAGGCCCATCAGGGGATAAATAAATAAACAAAATGTGGTATACACACACCGTGGAATATTAATCAGCCTTGAAAAGCAAGGATATTCTGACATATGGGACAATATAGATGAAGCTTGAAGATATTGATTATGCTAAGTGAAGTAAGACTGGCACAGAAACACACCCTCTGCGATTTCACTTACATGTGCTGTCTAGAGTAGCCAAACTCACAGAAACGGAAAGGAGTTTGGGAGAATATGGCAGTTGCAGAAAAAATGGCCAAGTTGTAAAAATACTTAAAAATAATGCAGAGTTGAGCCTAGGAGAAAATTAAATATTGTAGGGTTTCTCGCTTTTGGTAAAATTCACAAAATCAAACGTCATTTGAATTATTTTATCTCAAATATCCCATGACTGATTAATTCAAGATTTAGATATGCATGCATTTAAACAATTATCCATAGTAAATCTGGAACTTAAGTTTTGCACTCATGTCTGTCTATATGCAAAGTGGCCACGTTTGAAAAAAGTGTTGTAACAGTCTGCAAGCAAATAAAAATCTGTTATTTAGCAACAATGATCTGTTTTCTTTTGTTTGTTTGTTTCCTTTTCTTTCTATTCCATAAAGTGTTAAAAGTCCCAGACCAGGAGCAGTTGCCCGATAACAAAAGAAATAAGTAATTTGCAGCAGGTGGTTCTAATTGTGCCCATCAAACCTGTCACTCAATTGTGCAGAAGAGTGGAAAATCAATTAGCAACTACAAGCTTGGGTACTGAAGAGTGACAGCAGTGTCTTAACTCAAACAGGAAATCAGTAATGGAAGAAAACGATTACCGAGGCTCTGAGTGGACGTTCCCAGAACTAAGATTTCCCACCTACTACCCAACTTGCTTAGACAAAAGATGCTGTTGGAGAATATGCCCACTTGTATTGTTATTCAAAGAGCAGGACAGTGTAGGTCCTTGTTTCTTCCCTGGTAGGTCTGAATGGACATAAACCAAGAACATGGGGTCCTTCTTTTTCTTGACTTGCAAGTCTTATGTTGGAGCAACTGCTTTGGATGTAGACATATACGTAGGATGGAACACATACGACATTAACTGGCTGAGAGAGATGTTTCAGTATAGCTTGAGGGTAGTCCCGTGGGGTCATGGTTATGACCAGTTGTCATGCTGGGACAATCAACCTTGGCAGGTCCAGAAGACTGAGACAGGATAAAAACGAATTTATCCATACCATAGTTCTGCTTTAGAGTTGGACCTGTATAAGGTTGAATACTTAAATACATTAATAGTTTATCAGAGGAAAAATTGGCCCAGACATGGTGGCTCATGCTAGACACTGCTTTTTGTCAGGGTGAAACCACATGGGAGGGCTGTCTTCCAGCCCCCACTGTCCTCCTGGAGTTGATTGTGACACCATTGTGGCTGGTATCTTTATACCTTATTGCACATCTGTAGTATACTGTAAGTTGTCTAAGGTATAAAAAGGATAGAGCCTTTTTTTTCCCTTATAAGGCTTTTTGCCATACGGTGTATGTGCTCGCCAGAAAGAGAAAGAAAGAGAGGGAAAGGGAAAAAATTACACTTCCTGGGGGGATGGTCACACTGCAATTCCTTCTCCACTTTCTTCCTGGATTTTGGGCACACATGCACACGTGCCCAGCATGATTTTCAAGGCACCAGGTCCAGGACTCAAACCAAGGTCGACCGTGTGGGAGTCCAGTGCTTTTAACCACACTACATGCTGGCCCCATACCACCCACATTTTAGTTATACTTTCTAGTTAGCTTTTATGCTAAAAAGAGAAAGAAAGAAAAAGAAAGGATCAAAACCTGATACAAGGGCCACCTCCAAGTCCTAATGGTTAAGGGAGCCAAGTCCAATATGACTGACTGTGGTTCAAACCCTTGTCCTGGGCCTGTGTGAATATGAACCCCCAATTTCAACAGGAAGGAGAAATAGAGGAGAAAGGATTACAGTGTGACCAGACCCCACTGGGGTGCTTTCTCCCTTGCCTTCTCTTTCTCTGTCTCTTTTAGATGAGTGCATGTGCTTTCTAGCAATTAAAAAACACTCAGCTTTTATATTTTAAAAATAAATGTTAAATAAGATGTTTCTTTTCAATTACAAACAGAAGAAAAAAGTTAAATACAGCTGAATGTATCTGCAAAGCTAGTTACTAAATCTTCATGGAAAGTAAAACTCACCTTAAATTTTTGCTACTCAAAAATCAATATAGGAATAACAGTATTATTTAAATTCATTTCAATAAGTAATTTAAAACACTGATATACAGCATGATTTAGGTTTTGACTTTATGGTTAAACCTAGATTTGATCATTCAAGAGCCCTCACGTCAAAGCACAGTCGCATTTCTGTTAGAAAATTCTTATTTACCTGTTTGCAATGGTTACCAGTTCAGGAGGACAGTAATAACCACTGGAAGCATGGTCAAAGCTTCGAAGGCCTGTGTCAATTTTGTAACAGAACTCGCCATGTCTCTCCCATCCCTTAAAAAAAGAAAAGGGAAATTAAGGGCATAATCTGATTGAGTTAAATATCATGAGTTTTTTGCTTAGCTTTGGGGCAGAGGTTTTTGCTATAGGGTGCATGCACTCGTCAGAAAGACAGAGAGAGACAGAGACAGAAAGAGCGAAATCAACCCCCCCAGGGGGGATGGCCACACCGCAATCCCTTCTTCATTCTCCTCCCGGGATCTTGGGCATGCATGCACACATACCCAGCATGAATTTAAGCCACTAGATCCAAGACTCGAACCGTGGTGGACTACATGAGAGTCCAGCGACATAGCCATTATGCCAACTGCTGGCCTCAAGATTTTTGCTTATCTTTAAAGTTTATTTATTTATTTATTTATTTATTTATTTTTGAGAGGAAAAAAAATAGAGAGAGAGGGAGAGGGAAGCACTCCTAACTGGGTCTTCATACCGGGATCTACTCTCAGCCTCATGAACTAGGAGATCTCTGGATGCAAACCTGAGCCCTTCCCATGTGGCTTCAGCACCACAGGGTATTGTTCCTGCTGTGCCACCATGGCTGTTTTTTTCTTTTTCAAGGTTATATATTTCTTACATAACTCTCTTTTCTGACTCACTCAAATGCCTTACATTTTTGTTTTGATATCTTTATTCTGTCTGATAATGCCATTAGTTATAGCCACTTCTACATTTATTTAATCTTAAAACTTCAACATTTTAATTAATTTAAAACTTAAAACCAAATGAAAATAGAGGGACACTCACTTAAGATCCACCCCCACTTCTTTCTCTCTCTGGACTTAGAGAATTTCATACAAAATATCCCTACAGGAGGGTAGAAATTAAGAGGGCTGTCTCTTGAATTAGAATGCATGGGTTTAAGCTTGACTCCATTACTATGAGATTTTATGTAATTTCTTAGTTCTATCATCTATAAAATGGGGATAATAACTATATCCATGTACTGTTCTAAGAATCAAAGGGAGAAAATGAACACAGGTCTTAGAATCAGACTAGGAACTTGGGTTGAGGAAGGAGGACATACGGATCTGGATAAGACTGTCGATTGTTTTCGACTTTCTTTCATGATTACTTCATGGTATGCCCTGAGATTCATTGAGCTTAGAGGCTTAGATAAAGTCACAAATTAGTGGATCACTTGGGCCCGGAACCCAAATCTGGTGCAGATAGTCTGCACGTGGTGCAGAAAGCAAGCTTTGGCACTCAAGCAAAAATGGCAAAAGTGTAGCTCTATGGCTTAGTCCTAGAATCTATTTTTAAAAACCGTACAATATAAGGGACTTACATTCATTAGTCTTTTATACTTCACCTAAGTTATTTTAATTCTTTCTCTTCCAATATTATAAAATCACATCACTTACATCTATCTAGTTTTACTTATTCGCCAGTTGTAAAGTACTCTCCATTTTATCCCATGCCAGTACGTGTCAACTTTTGATCAGCTATGAAATGATTTCTAGTATAGTTCTTGGAAAATGTCTTGGTCTTGCAATAATTTAAAGAAACCCTTAATTTAGCAATCAACTACTCTAGTTGAAAGCATGTCATTAAGTAAGGTGTGGCTCACAGGGCTTCCCACGAGCCACCAGGGATCTGCTCTGGATTCACGGCCTTTCCCTTCTGCTCCCAACCTTCTGCGTGAGACTGACAGCCAGACAGAGCGCTCTGTGGATGACCCCAGATCGGGGTGGGGGGGTTAGACTGCACTTCAACTTGGAAGAACAAGGCAGAGGGAGGCTGACAGTTTGACCTTTCTGACACTGTATTCTTTCTTCACTAGCAGATTTTAGACCACAGGCTGCTTAGCAAAGCAAACAAACAAACAAAAATCTAAGATCTGAATAGGCTTAAGAAAAGGGAGGGGAATAGACAATGTGGCATAATAATAACTAGAAAAACAAATTCATCTCTACAAGCTTTGGAATGAAGTAGGAAGGATAATTGTGGTACTGGTTGTACCCTGGGTGCTATTTTATTTTTAAAGGAAAGGATGATGATAATACTGAAGTAATTGCTCAAATTGTCTAATCCCAAAAAAGTGACTGAGAGGGGAAATTAAATCACTTCTTTCGCTTTGAAATTATCAAGACTGATTTTACAAGTTGATTTTGTAGGTGTCGTAAATCCTCTGGCTGATAAATTTTTTTTTTTTTTTTTTGGTAAAATGTAGCCTACACTTCATCGTTTTGTTTGTAAAATGTAGCTTAGGAGGGATGTAAAGGAAGGAGGGGGGAAGGGACAGAGAGAGAAAGAGAGAGATTAATTTTAAATTGGTGGCAGATAATTGGGAAGAAGTCTTCAAAAAGTTTGTGGAAAATACATATTATGAGAGAAATATGCATGGATTAAATTCTTTTTTATACCTCAATCTCAATGTGAACAGTACTTACCTCTTGACATCCTGATTCAGCGTCAGAGAGGACATCGCCTGGTTTTTTACAAATGTAAGAAAGTGTTTCTTCACAATTTTTAACTTTCCAGTGCCCCTCCTAAGGAGAAAAATGTTAAAGGATGGATGAACACACTCTGCGCTTATGCTGATGGGTGATAGCAATTCTCATGAATAAAGTATGATTTATAGTAAGTGTTTCCTGCTCTGTCACGGAATGGTTAAGTGGGAGGCCCTGTTCTCTCTCCATGACATGAAATTCTCAATTAGGTGAGGATCGAGGAGGGAGCCACTGGTGTTTTCTGATCGCTGCCATGTGCCAGGCTTAATGTCAGTTCAATCTAGTTCCTCGGTGTTCCTGTTAGGCAGAATGATTACTGCCATTTTAAATGTTAGGTTGCCCAAGGTCCAATGAGCAATAAAAGCTGGAGCCAGGATTGATGCCAAGGTCAGCCTGGCTTTCCATTAGGCTATCCTCAATATTTCTTTTTCATTCTTTCTTTCTTTTTTAGATTTTTTTTTTTTTTTTTTTTGCCATAGGGCACACATCCCTGCTGAAAAGAAACAGAGAGAGAAAAAGAGAGAGGGAATGGCCATGCCACAGTCCCTTTCCCTCCATTCTCCTCTTGAGATTTTGGGCAGGCATGTTCAGAGGTGTGGCATGATTTTCAGGCCACCAGGTCTGGGAATCAAACCACAGTTGAGCATATGAAAATCCAGAACCTTATCTACCACATCACCTGCTGGTCCCCTCAATTTTTCTTTTAAATGATGAATAGGGCAGTGGTTCTCACTTCTCTGTGTGGACCAGAATCACTGGGAGGTATTACTGGGACACAGATGATCAGGCCCCATGATCAGAATGTTGCATTCAGCAAGTCTGTGGGAACCCGAGAATCTGCCTTCTAAAGAAGTTTTTGAGTGATACTGATGCTGCTGGTCTGGAGCTACCCTGAGATCACTTGGATGAAGCCAGCTCTCTGACTAAGTGACAGTGCTGCTTCCTCTCTGCAGTCACTTCTACATGTTAAATCAAATGCTCACAGCTTCGGGTTTAAGCCTGATGCTGGGGATAGGCCTGGAAACTACTGTTAATTATCCTGGACAGCATCCTCATAGCTGAAATTCATCTTCAAACCCTAGTGTCCTTCTCTATCACTAATTCTTCAGAGCATCACCCCATTTCTGCTTTGCATGATAGACATATACCTTCATGTCTTCTAATTCTATTGATGTCTTCTAATTCTACTGAAGTCTACTCTTAGAACTTTCATTTGTAACAACATAACTGCTCACAGATTAAAATTTTATCCTCCAAAAGGATTTTTAAAAAATGTAACACAAATCATAACTTTAGGTGAAAATCACACAATTCAAATTGTAGGTGCTATTTCAGGCATCCAGAATTCTAGGGGAATATGAAACCTTTCCTTCTATGAACTTCAGGAAAAAAATGCCACGTTGGAGGATGACATCTTCCCCTGCGAGAGGAGACTGGTACCCTTCCCCTAGAGGGACCTTGGCAAACATCCAGTTACAGGAGAGTGTCATGCATACCATGTTGTTTGATAGCTGTTGGATGGATGGATGAATAAATAGTTTCCTAGGCTCTCACATTCAAATTTACTTGTCAACTCTGATTAGGTAACCTGTTAATTACTATAATTATATTAATATTGCATTTTGTCCATGGAAATGTTAATTTTTATACATCCTATTTAAGGAGCTACAGATCTGCCAAAAATGGGGCCACAAAATATCACACTTCTAGCAGTATTGTTCTGACACATCTGATAATATTAATATCTATCCTCAGTCTTAAAAATAATCCCTGTCCAAATGTTGGCTTCTGTTCTGTAAACACACTAAGTGAAATACTCATGTGTGTCAATAGGAAATGAAGGTCATCTTAATTATATCAAACCAGTGAGCCCATAAAGCATTAAATACTGTAGATTACATTGTGATGGATTTGAGCAAAGCAAGATTCAGGACACACATTTAGAGAGGTCTTTGTTTCTCCCATCTCAAATGTGACTCAGAGACATTGCATTAGCACTTATACACATGGTCCCCAGTGTATGGTGGTTAGACTTAAACCATTTCTTGACTTTATAATAGTGTGAAAGTGATATACATTCAGTAGAAACTGTACTTTATTTACCCCAGCAACCATTCTGTTTTTCACTTTTAGTGCAGTATTACATGAAACAGTCAGTGCCTCATTATAAAATAGGCTTTCTATCAAAATGATTTTGCCCAATTGTATGCTAATGAATGTTTTGAGCACGTCTAAAGTCAGCTATGTGAAGCAGCTCTGATGTTTAGTAGTGTTAAATGCATTTTCAATGTATGGTATTTTATTTTGTTTTTAATTGAGGGGTGGGAAGGACTACGAAAGCATCCCCCAATAGGGTGTGGTCATGCCACAATCCCTTCTCCTCCATTTCTCCATCCTGCTGGCCTTAGGGCATGCATGCACAAGTGCCTGGCATGTTTTTCAAGCTGCCAGTGTCAGGATTTGAACTGCAACCAGACATGTGGGATCTGGCCTCCTTAACCACTAGACTACAGGGCCAGCTCCAATACTTTCAACATACAGTAAGTATTGAGACATAGCCCACTGTAAGTCTAGTAGCATCTATAATGGTAATTGTACATGTCCATGCCAACTTTAAAAGATAAAACAATGAACTGTGTCACAAAAGTGAGTGCTTAGAAATTCTCTGTGTTTGATGGGCATAATTACTTTGTCGATTTAAGTAACATTTTATCAACTGCTTCTTGGAAGAACTTGACATGGTATTCTTGTGGTTAGACAGAATGAGGATACCTACCAAATCCCAAGAAACTTCTAAAACCCGCCAATGCATTTAAGCAGCTATCTGATCAAAGAAATTAGGTCTGTTTTAAACATAATATAGAGTTAAAATAGTTAGAGATTACACTAATTTTGTATGATCAGATATTTTAAATAAATGAGAGTTAAGAACATAGGGATAAGTGTGATATTAAGGTTATTGGGATCATCGTATTCATATGAGGAAAAGAATAAGATTTGTTATTGATTCACAATTTTCAAAGGGGGTTATAATAGTGTTCAAACCCTTTTGTGTTAACAAGACAGTGAGCTTAAAAAAACATTATTTCCCAGATTGATTTTCCAATCTCAGTTCTTCTCACCTTCGTCCTAGTGGTCATCACCACCATCCACTAAGCAAAAAACCTACCTTTCTCTCACCCCCACATTTAGTTCAGTACAAGTCTCATCCTCCAAAGCAATTTTGAATCTGTCCACTTCTTTTCATAGTCATAACCCCATTTCAACCCTGGAGAAACCTCCAAACCAGTCTTCCAGCTTCCATTTTATCCCTCTCCAATCCATACTTTTTGTAGTAGCCACAGTTAATGTTTTCAAATGTCAGATCAGAGCATGTTTTCCATCCCCTTGAACTGCTTTAGTGATTCTTAAATCATGGCCTACAAGCCTGGTATTTTTGCATTTCTCCTGCCCCATCCGGTACCCTCACCTCCCCAGTGGGCTCCATTTTGATCATTAAACATGGCAAACCTTAGCCTGCCTTTGAGTCTTCACTATTGTTGCCCTCTGCTTGGAATGCTCTTCCTCCTGCTCTTTGAGAGATATTGTTTTGTTTTACGTCCCAGCTTAACTATCACTTCTTCACAGGGGCTTTCTGTGACTTTCCTGTCTGTAGCAGCTGCCTCAACCCACTTCATCCATTTCCTTGGAACCGTCATTACAACTGTGATTACCATGTTTTTCCATGTGTATATATTTTTCCTGTCCAGCATGGAAACTCTATGAGGAGTAGGGACTGTGCTTTGTTTTGGTCTCTGGTGCTACCCAAGTCCCTGGTGCAGGTGGCCTCATATGAATCCAGCAAAGTGAGCTTTGAACAAAAAAATTCACTTACAGATTGCTCTGCTGAGACACATAGGTGGCTTCTGTTTGGAAAAATCTGTGGCTCACGTGTGTGCCAATTAGTAAAGATGACTGAGGCACCATTAGACCATTTAAAGGAAACTGGAATTTTATTGCTGCTCAAACCAATCCATGTTTCTGTCGCATTTTCTAGAAAACAAAATGTAAATTACTCACAATATCTTATTATTTGCAAATAATATACCATTTTGCATGTAATTTATTCTTTATTTCTCTATGTGATAAAATTTAAATCTCAGTATAAAGCATCTGTTTAAATCCTATTCCCCACATAATATTAGAATCTTAGCAACACAGGCCTTTTGTCTGTTTCATTGTATATGTTTATATACTTATATACTTATTTGTATATTTATATTTATACTTGTCAGAGAGAGATAGTGAGAAGGAAAGTGAAAAAATCACCCCCTAAAGGGATGGCTACACCACAATCTCTTCTTCTCCATTCTCCTCTCTGGATTTTGGGTATACACAAATAGGAGCCCAGTGCGATTTTCAGGCCACAGGATCTGGGACTTGAACTGTGGTTGGCCATGTGGGAGTCCAGTGCCTTAATCACTATACTCCCTGCTAACTACTGTTTGTTTATTTTTATTTGCATTTAATCATTTTATGTTTTTATAGCATATGATATGGGTTCTCAAAGCATAAATGCATTGCATGTCAAGAAAGTCAAAGATATAACCAAACACAATACATTTCCATTCTTGTGTCTGTTACATGTTCGTTTTTTTCCCCCCTCTTGGGTTTCTCCCTCTTACCTCCAATTGTCCATCTACTCCTATACAGTCTATGGTATCTACTCTTGCTGTTTGTGCCATTATATCCTCCGATCTTTCAGTTTCTGCCATAAAGTGCATTCTGTACACACTAAGCGGGAACATACAAAGTCTGCTTTCCATGGTCTGATTGCTTTGCTTAGCATCAAAATTTCCACATTTGTGGGACCAGCAGTTAACATAATGGCTATGTCACTGGACTCCCATGCAGTCGACTGTATCCCGGACCTGAAGGCTTAAGCTCACACTGGGCGCATGTGCGTGCGTGCCCAAGATCCTAAGAGAAGAATGGAGGAGAAGGGATTGCAGTGTGGCCATCCTCCCTGGGGGGTGATTTCTTGCTTTCTGTCTCTGTCTTTCTGACGAGCACATGCAACCTATAGCAAAAACCTCTCCAAAAACAAAACAAAACAAAACTTCTACATTTGTTCACTTTTTATCAAATGACAGGGTCTTATTTTTTTTTTTTTATGGCTGACTAGTATTCCATAGTATATATGTGTCGGACTTTTTCAACCCAGTCATTTGTTCTATGGAATTGACATAAGTGTCCAAGGATACAGACCTTTTACTGAATAAGAAAGGCAGAGTGTCATCTAAAGCCATGCAAGGACAAAGCTTAAGCAAGTCAAATTCATGGGGTGCTAGTTTCTGTTGCTGCATGTAAAGCAGATCTGAAAAGTCTAGTTTTGCATCTGCTCAGAGAAAGGAAAAGTAGAAAGGCCTACTGGATTATGAAAAGGGCATTTAAAAAAACTGCTAATGAGATATCTTAGTATCTAAAATACTAATAGATATTTTACTATCTTTTTAATTGTTTATATTTGCCAAGTAAATAGGGAGTAAAAGCTCTTAAAGGCATTGAAATGGGAGCAATGGGGTTGCTGGAAAAGTAAGTAAACTTGACAACCTAGGTAAGGTGAAAAGTCTCTAGGTGGCTGGGAAAGATATTCATGTGTCCCTGTTAATGAAAGAGCAGCTGCAGCATTCTTTCAATCTCAAATGCAAAAGATTAAGAAAATGACAGAGAAGGATTAGTGTTTTCACTCCAAACTGAAACCTGACATTGGAAAGGTGATCAAAGTAGAGTATGGAGATCTTTTCATTTTGAGAAGTTTGCTCTAAGTCAGTGATTTTAGTTTGCCAGCAGAATTCTATGTCACATGTACAAAACAGGGAGGAGCAGAGCTATTGCTGGGGATGAAAATTGGGTGGAGCCCAGGATCCTGAAACTCCTGGACATGGCACACAGCCTGGAAACTACCACATCAAGTAAGTTATCCATTTTCACTGGCTAAACTTATTTTTTGGGTTGTCAGAAAAGTCATGACATATGTTTTGCATAGAAAAACAGAAAAAAATACATCATGACTTTTCCGAAGATCCAGTATATCCAATTATGTGCATAAGGAATTCTGTCACCGGGATTACAGGACTACAGCACACTACTGCTACCTATGGACCATATGCTAAATTGCAGGTTTAGATTTTTTACTAGAAGTTCCAAAAAATGACGATTGCCCCTTAAAAAATGAAGATGAAAAAACCAAGGTGTCTGACATGCATGAAGATGTTACTAAGTCCCTGAATATGTATTTTGTAAAAATACAATGAATTTGAATTCTTGGATATTATTTAGAGACTTAAAATACATGTGCCATTAACAGTCACCTCTAAATAGCTTAACTTTCTTTCAAACTTCAGTTATAGAAGTATTTAGTCATTGGGAAAGTCATGATGTATTTTTCTATGCAAAAATGCGACATGACTTGCCCAACAATCCAATACGTACTGCATTCTGTTCTTATTCAATCAAAGGCAACTGGGACTCACCATGTGCAAGGAGAGTTACAAGAAACTCCACCTCTGCTAAAGAAGCTATGTTGATTAATGTACTGTTATCAGACTGGCAAGAATGCAAAGCCTCATTCCAGGTCTTTTCTTCTTTCTGAAGTTTATAGCAATTACGATGGTGGGGATTCCAGCCAGTCTCACAGACGGTAGCATAGTATTTCCAAGCATCTGTTTCTTTTTAAACCAACAACAACAAAAATATGTCATTTCCCACAATTATTTTACTACTATTATTACCTTTTATGTAGAGTACCATTAATATGATTGCTTTAAAAATGCAAAAAGCAGAAATACTTGAAACGACATATGACTCATGGAATTATAGATCTTCTAAATTGAAAAGGGTCTCATCTATGACCAAGATCTAGATCTTGGGCTGAATGAATCTCAGTGCTTCATTTTTTTTTCTTTTCAGATGAGAAATTTAAAGCACAAAAGTAGTAGAAAATTGATAAAGGTCATATGATGAAAGCAGAGGGAGCAAGATACAAAATTTAGCAGAGTTTCCCATTGTTGGAATCTTTTTACATTGCCAAAAGAATATTATGGAGCATGGTTTAAATGGTATGCTGATGGCATTATACAGAATAAGTGGGTGGAAAAGATATTTATTCTAAGCTAAAAAGAGCCTAAAACTCTGATCACTTCCTGTAGAGCAGGCATGACAAATGCTATTCACCTTGAGGGTCAGTTTAGTGTCTGTGCGGGCACTCTGGGTTGATAGGGATTCTGAGTTGGCCTCACAGAGAAACAGTGTTCTGATGCTTTGGACATAAAGGGGAAGGTGGTAGTGTATATGGCAAGTTTTGTCTTTCCTCTTCCAGAAATTTGTCCACAATCTGGTGATGGCTTTAAAAAACAAAAAAAGATTTTTGCTATGTGGTATGTGTGCTCACAGGAGAGACAGAGAAGTGAGAAATCACCTCCTGGGTGTTGGCCATGCTGTAATACCTTCTTCTCCGTTCTCTTCTCATGATCTTGGCACACATGCACATATACCCGGAGTGAGTTTCAAGCTGTTGGGATTCAAACCATGGGTTGCTACATGGGAGTCCAGCACCTTAACCACGATACCATCTGCTGGTCCCAGTATTTTCATCCTATTCATTATTTATTTTTTAATTATTATAGGGCATGTATGTACTTGCTGGAGAGAAAGAGGAGAGAGAGAAAGCACCCTCCCAGTGGGGTATGGTCACTACAATCCTTTCTCCTCCGTTTCTCTAACCCATCAGGATTTGGAGGCACGCACACATGCTCGGCATGTTTTTCAAGCTGCTGAGGCTGGGATTTGAATCATGGTTAACCATGGGGGAACTGGCTCCCTATCCACAGCACTTAATTGCTGTGCTATGAGGCTAGTCCTACCATATTTTCTTAACCACAACTAGGTGTCTCCTTCAAAAACTAGTTTCATTAGATACAATTTCAGTGTTATTTGGGAAACAAAAAAATATTTTAGAATTGCTCACAAGGGGACCAGCAGATGGAGTAATGGTTATATCACTGGACTTTTGCATGGCCTACCATGGCTCGAGTCCTGGACCAGTGGAATGGAACTCATGCCAGATGCATGTGTGCATGCCCGAGATTTTTGAAGAATAATGGAGGAGAAGGGATTGCAGCATGACCACTCTCCATTGGGGGTTATTTCTCACTTTCCCTCTTACTGTGTCTGTCTCTCTCTCTGGCAAGTGCATGTGCCCTAAGGCAAAGACCTCTAACCTGCTGGCCTTAAATGATATTTAGACATCATCTGCCCTAATTGTTTTTGACAAAAAAAAAAAAAAAGAAAGAAAGAAAGAAAGAAAGAAAGAGAGTAGCCACAGTACCCTTTTTATTTATTTATTTTTTAAAAGAATTATTTTTATTATCTTAAATTTTTTCTATAGGGCATATGCACACGGCAGAGAGAGACAGACAGAAGGAGAGAGCAAGAAGGTAAGAAAATAAGCTGCCAGGTCTGGGCCTCAAACCATACTTGGCCATGTGGGAGTCCAACCCTTAAAAACCATGCTACCTGCTAGTCCACCCAGAACCCTTTTTAAACAGGGAATTTTAAAGAGGAACTAAGGCAAGGGTAGGGCCAATCAATGAACATGGGGATGCTGGAAGCATGAGTTCAAGACATCAGTGTTTTGAATGAAATCATCAAAAGAATTTGTTGAACTTAAAACAACAGCAAATAATTTAAACAAGTTTAGCCTTACCACTCCCATTTCTGGTGTTCTGATTTCTAATAGTAAATCAGAAGAATAAGCAAAATAAGACAACATGGGTGGCAGGGGGAGTTCAGGAGGGCGTAAGAAAAAAAGAGTAAAAGAAGAAGAAATGGAGAAAGGAAGATGAAAGAAGAAAGAGGGGGAAGCGAAGAGACTGCAACAGCCAGTAAGAGTTTCAGCAAATTCTTGAAATAACAGAAAAATGTCAAGGGACCGGATGGTGGCAAGTGGTAAAATGTGATGCTCTAGGAGGCTCACCACATGGGTAGGTTTCAGGTTGATATCAGGTTGAATTTAGCAAATGTGTTCAGGTTTTTACTAAAATATGAAATGAAATAACCTGAGCATACCTAACATATGCTATTTTTTAAAATTTGCATTCCTAGTCATTCTGCATTCAAAAACCTAGATATGTTCCCTTTTCTATTCTAGTTTTGAGTTTTATTTCTATTTCCCTAAAAATTAATCATACATTATGATTTCATAAAATTATTTACTTTCATTGATTTTGGCCTCCCTGAGTACTTCACATACACACTTGCCCATGATTCAGGGCTACTGAAGCTGAGATAGATCACTGGGTCAAGATCCTGTTGGGAGTGTAGTCTCTTTCTCTCTCATCTCTCTCACTCATGGAAGAAATAGATGAATAAACTTTAAAAGAAAGGCCAGAAAGAAAGAAGGTATGCTTCTCTCCTTACTCCTTCACTCTATATTCTACAATACTCTTAAAGTTAGCCATTTAAAGGAAAATGAAGTTAAAACCTAATTGCAAGAGACAATATTTGAAAACAGTAATTCACTCTATTATTTTAAATCTAGAGTTTCTAATTATTCTTACAATGATTCTTTTGAAAATGGTTATGTTTTTCTCTCTACTGTCTGATTAAGATAGCCCTTAAAAACAGAAATGATTCAGGACCAGCAGATGACATATTGGTTATGTCACTAGACTCCCACGTAGTCAACTGCAGTTGGAGTTCTGGACCCAGTGGCATGTACTCACGCTGGGCTCATGTGCATGTGTGCCCAAAGTCCCAAGAAGAGGATGGAGGAGATTGTGGGATTGTGACATGGCCATCCCCCCTGTGGGGTGATTTCATGTTTGCTGTCTCTCTGTCTTTCTCTGTATCTCTGGTGAGCACACGGGCCTTAATTACACCTAAAAGTTTTGCATGCTATTTCTGGGAGGAGAGTAGTAAGAGATACGCAGTGTGCTAGGCTATAATATCAATGAAAGTAAATAATTTTATGAAATAATGTATGATTAATTTTTAGGGAAATAGAAATAAAACTCAAAACTAGAATAGAAAAGGGAACATATCTTGGTTTTTGAATGTAGAATGACTAGGAATGCAAATTTTAAAAAATAGCATATGTTAGGTATGCTCAGGTTATTTCATTTCATATTTTAGTAAAAACCTAAACACATTTGCTAAATTCTTGGTGCCTTTTAGAATAACAGATATTATCCATTTACATATTTTTATTCATATAAAGCAGCCTTAGTTAAATTTAAATGATAAATTATTAGCCAAAAAAAGAGACAAATTTAAGTATACCAGAAACAAGTAAAAACACATAAGAACCATTTTAAATAAAAATACTTACCAATTATTTCATGATCAGTGTGGTTCAGATATTTTTTACATATATAAGGCAAGGTCAACTCACAATCCCGACTCCTCCAGGCATTTGTTGTTAATGAGTTAAATGTTCCACAGTGATAGTCAACAAATGGCTCAAAATTTCCCTCTGAAAATACAGCGTGTATGTAATATGGGAAGGAAAAGTCGTTAGTTTAACATACATATTGAAGTGTAGTTTCAACAACAAGGGGACAGCCTTTCTGTCTGGCATATATCGTAAGTCCTATGGGACATTATGTTACAGCTATGATTTTGCAGTTAATCATACAGGCACGATAATGAAATATTTCCTAAAGACTGCAAAGACCCAATTTTATAGTTTCAAAGTAGAGAGTTATTTCACAACTTGTTGCCCTTTTTAAAAAGTAGACTGGAATCTTGGCTCTGAACCAAATCTTGAAACCTTGCCTAAATAGGTCACCATCTTGGCCTCTGTTTTCTTGTTTGGACAAGCCTGCTTTATAGGAATTCAGCAAGGCTAAGAAATGGTTATAAACCACCTTCAGAATAACATGTCTTTAAGTCTATGTAGAAAAGAACATTTTTTTAAGGTTTATTTATTTCTTCCATGAGTGAGAGAGAGAGAGAGAGAGAACACCCCCAACAAAGCCTTGACATCCCAATCCACCCCCACGCTCAGTTAGTCTAGGGATGTCTCTGGACATGAACTCAGAACCTTCCCACATGGGTTAGTTTAACAATGTCTAGTTTTACTGCCACTCGACGGTCTATACCCCAGTGCTGCCTTTTAAGGCCCCAGGATGATGCCACATGGTGAAGGAAAACAAAACGCTGCAAGTACCTGGGTTCCAGTTCAGATAGTTGAGCGGTGTGCCATCAGACCACTGCCAGCCAGAGTTTCTATCCAGCTGGTTCAGACCCAGCCATACCTCCACTGCTTCACTGCTCATGTGCTCTGAAATGAGCGTTATGGAGTTTAAAAAACAAAGCAAAACAAATTGAAGTTATAGTCCTTTCTTGTTTCCCTATTCCTGGATCATGGAGTCGTAATCCCTGTCAATGACAAGGTAGGGTGTAGGTGCTGCTAACTCCACCTTGATGATTGAGTGACAGCGTAAGCCTCAGCCTTCTGGAAAGGCACAGCAGTTACTATAGGCTTGCTGAGCTGTTCTCCAGTTGCAACTAGCTCCATTCATACATTCAGAAATGCTGGCTTTCCATGGTTGTCAGTCTATCCCAGGGTGCATGGTTACCAATTCCAGGCCATCTTATTTGTGTTAACTCATGCACTTAGGAGTTTTAGAGAGGGGAGAAGGAAGTGTTCAGGGATACTCCCAGAAAGTGAAGGGACAATCTTAAAATCCAAGAAGGAACAAAGCAGGATGTGGCTGTCCAGGGTGGGAGCCACAGGAGGTATCTGGTCAAGAGGAATAGTATCATCCAAGGGACCAGATTATCCATCTCAAGGGATCCCTCCAGGTTGGCACCTAAGGCCAGGCTCTGTGCAAATGTGAGGTGCTTCCACAGTTTGGGTGGGTGCAGGTTTTATGGCAGCCTGGCTCTGTGGCCCCTGTTCCTAACATCTGTGCCACAGACACGCAGATTTTTGTTCTACACCATTTTTGTCATCAATAATGTGAATATTCACATGTGCTTGTGCAAAAAAAGAAAAAGTGGTTATTGACATTGTAGAATTATGGGAAATTTTTCTTTTGTTTTTCTTTTTGTACACCTGAACTTCAAGTTATTCCAGAATGAATATGTACTACTGGTGAAATCAAATTTTGGGAAAAAAAGCCAGTGTCGGAAACTTTTAACGAAATGCACTAATTTTGTGACACTGTCAAGTTTTGCCATTTAATCATGTAAACAATAAAGGAGAGCATTGTTCTTTTAGTGTTCATCTGATTTAGAATCCAAATTATTTTAAGCCAGATGCAGAGGTCCAGTCTGACCTTGAGAGTCTGATAGATAGGGGTTATTAATAGGGTGATTGTTCCAGCTTGTTCAGAAAACTCATGTTTTATGTTGGTAGTTCCAGAATAGTTAGGAATTGCAGTCCTTTTTACTCTTAAAAGTCTCAGTCTAAATGACAGGTTGTGTGATTACCCAGGTTATGAAGATCAGTGTATTTACATAACAAGATTACAACATCTTCCATGATTGGATGGTCGATGCAGTGGTGGAAAATGGAAGAACCTAATCCACTCAAGAAAAAAGAAGAAGATTTTCTAGTTTTGAGACCCCCCCCGAAATGACTAAATCAGAGCAGCATAATATACACAGGCTCTGTCCTTCCAAATTTCTGTGACATTAACACGTAACCATTTCCTAATATCCATTTGGTTACTAATTTCAAGATAATCTTTTTTTCCTTCTAATTTCATTTTCTTTTATGCAGTAGATCACATTATTTAGCTTACACAGTGAATATTTTAACATGTAAACATTTCTCCCTAGTCCAGTTGACTAAACTATAAAATATCTTTAACAGAAATTGGCACGTTTCTTTGTCCCATTAATGTTTTTCCTCCCCATTTTCCTTCTAATTGTTTTTCCTCAAACACTATTTTTTCTCACACACTAAATCTGTATTCACATCTGTTTACTGTTTCTATATCCTTCAGTCAATCCCTTTCAGTCATAGAGTGTGGACACTCGGTATGTATTAAGTGGGGACATACAATGTCTCTCCTTTATAGTCTGGCTTGCTTCACTCAGAAGTAAATCTTCCATATTCATCCACTTTCTGTCAAAATCCAGGTTTTTTTTTCCTCCCCCCTTATGCTGAATAATATTCCATAGAGTATATGTGCCATAGTTTTTCGATCCATTCATCTGTTCATGGACATTTGGGTTGGCAATTGTGAATAGTGCCGCAGTAAACATCGACGTGCAAGCACTTTTCTGATTAAGAATTCTTCTGTCCTTTGGGTAGATACCAAGGAGTGAGATTGCTGGATCATATGGTAGTTCTATTTGTAGATTTTTGAGGAATCTCCAAATTGTTCTGCCAGGAGCTGTACCCCAGCCGGGGTGGGTGCACAGGAAGGCGACAAGGGTGAACAGGAATCAGACTAAAACTTCATGCCCTTTAGCATGTTCTTAGCCGGCTACAGTCAGAGTAAACTCTGGACTGCAGCCCTGATAGCCAGAAGTCATGTGTATTTATTATAGAAGGAGTTTTACAGGGGTAGGATGCGCGAGGGGAAGTAAGTGAAAGATTTTACTCCAAAAGGTAAGGCATTCAAAGTATAGGAACAATAATCATAAAACATGACGTCTGTTTTGTTTAGGTATAAACAGTCATAATTTTTAGAACGAGGAAGTCCATTTTTTGGGTGCATCTTCTTCTTAGATCTTGATTACCAGGGAGGGTCTTTGGCTGAGAGGGTTTTCAGAAATTTTTAGTCCCCGACCAGCTTGATTACTTTAGTCCCAGATTGGCTTGAGAATTTTGAGCCTCAGGTCAGCTTTTGAGAACTTCAGCTTCAGGCTAGGGTGGCAATAATTACAAGAGCCTAAAAATAAATCCTGTCTGGTTTAGTAAAGACAAGGTTAGTATATA